TGTTCATCAACCGAAAGTCAGTGGTCTACGTGCAGACGACACGGCGGCGTTCAACGGCTGAAGTTCGTTGCATGTTGGCTAGAAGGAATATTACCGTAGCATTACCTGACTTTCGTCACTTCGTGTGTGTTTTGAGGGCCGCGAGCTTCGGCAGCGGGCTCGACGAGATATTCTTATCGCGTTTAAACATAGAATCTCTTCGGTCTCTGAATAGATCATTTGAAAGCTTGCGTGGTGAACTGCCGAGATCTGGCCGCGAGGGGGCAAGGTTGTACCGGCAGATGAATAATTCAAAAACGGTGTGGAACAGCTTTGGACGAGAGGGAGAAAGCTTGTACCGTTCGATGGATAATTCGGTACCGGTGCGGAAACGGCCTCTTTACGCTAACCGTTCAAGGGTCCGGAGAAAAGTGCGGATTGTATCGTTGATTCGTTGCCAGCGCCATAAGAACAGCGGCAAGGAGTTGGCCAAGAAAACAATGTTGTACCATTGAAAGGGCGAATGATTGCATGCACATGGCTTCTTGAAAGGTACTGTGGAGATCGAATCTGGTCCTGATCGGCTGTAGCCTCCTGCGAATTAGCAGTGTTCATCGGATACAGCTGTTCTCTTGTTACAGGGCGAAGGTGAGAGTTGAAAATTTCGACATGAAGGTCAGGAGAAGAAGTGCGGGCCGGAGGCTCGGCGCGGAGGAACGCGTGCTCGAATCATACTCCGCTACTCCGCCGAATGAATCAATGATGCATGATGGCCGGCCGCGGGATGACTGAAAGCCAACAAGTTGAATACTTACACACGACGAGTGGAGCTGGAGGAAGCTGGGAGAAAGCGTGGTTTGTACTGTCACAGGCGCTGTCTCCAAAGTACCCTGAAGCATCCATCTGTCACTTCTATTGGCTTCAAGAAGTTGACGTCGGGAAAAACCAGATCCCAGGACCAACCACCGAGACGCGTTTGATGCCGTCGTTTAGCCTACCATTCGTACCTGAGTTGGACTAGTACGTCTCCTTGCGATCTCCATGCGGCGAAAAAAATGGCCTCGTCTAACCCTTTGCGCGGCGTCCGCCAACTTTTGGTGGCGCCAACGCGTACGGTCCGTGGTGCGCTCAAGGTGCGGTTCAAGTCGTAATTTCCGTTGGCAACGAGATTTAAAGGTGGTTGAAGATCCATTGTCTATTCATACTAGAAGTGCTTCCCCTTAGCCTATTTTTCAAAGAAAAGAAAGAAAAAGTTTTGGCATTGAACCGATGCTCTGAAAGTCAACACTTGAAGCGCTTTAATTGCACGCTTCAGAATTCCATCTGAACTGCACCGGTACAGAGTCTTAAGCACGGCACATGCCTGCACCTCACTCATCTCGACCGATGCTGGTCCCCATCCCACCATCAGACCTATTATATCATGAATTTCACCGCCCTTTGCGGATGATCTACAGGAGCATCCATGAGAAAAGTGTTAACACAGCGACGGCGGGCATGAGGCAACCCAAGGCAATCGAATTACTTACGAAAGTAGAATAACGCATCGAACGTCACAACAGGACGCGGAGAGTACATGGAGGCGAGAGGTAGCCGAGGTCATTTTGCCGATCCAAGTATGGGGGACGATCAAATGGTGGATACAGCCGATGAGGATTGAGCCCAACAGGCCCAAAGGGACCGGATTTCAGATTTTTCTCCATGTTCTGCGGCTTTCTTTCTCCGGAGTTCTTTGAGCTGACTAAATGTTCCTATTATTTATTACTCTGTGAACGGTATAAGATATTCGTGAACAACTCAGCCGGAATCGGGTCGCGGTCCATCAAATTTGGTGATCCGATTCATCCGAATCCAGTTCCTGTTTCTGTTTGGAACCTGCCTAGAGAAATCTCACAAAGATCAGAGGCAGTTTTCACGAAGTCAAGGTTTTGTTCGACTCAGAATTGTTTGCCAAACGGCGCTTCCAGAAAATGCGCGACAAATTCAACCTCTGAGCTCGAACATGACAGTGGTGTCACCAGCTGTCCTTTTTCCCCTCAGCGCCCAGCGAGCGCCACCTGGGAAAATAAATGTCGCGATGGCCACCAAACTTTCTCAGATTTATCTGAGGACGTTTGCGGACGTTGGTAGTCTCTCCTAGACAGACGCTTCAACAAAACTTACCTCGTACCTCGGCTTGTTGAAGGACGTTGGGGAGTGTTAAGTACCAGAGTATATTTGTTTAGATCACACAAGTCACAAGTCGATCAACGCTCCGGCGTCATTGACCTCCTCAGCAATAATCTCTTATAATTAGACTACACAGAGTGATAGGTAGAAAGGATTCGATTGAGGGCAAAAAACCTTAGGAAAAGCGATGGGGAGAAAAACCAAAAAAGGGGGAAGAAAAATGCAGACCCATTCGACGCAGTAGTATTCGCGATATAGTAAGGTGCATAGTAAACGTTCTCTGGACCCACTTGAAGAGGTCGACTCGTAGCTAAAGCCGACATCAATCCAGAACTGAACTGGTTCGAATTAACAAGGCACGCGTCATCTGACATTGGTCATACTAGGTTTGCGTGGTGGGCAATGAAGCCGAATCAGGCAGGGAGATCGCCATCTGTCAAATGCAAGTCTACACAGGACGGAATCTGCTTCTGCTTGATTGAGGGTACGTCGCCTCAAGCCCTTGGACCGACGATCCATCAGACTTCTAGTGTTAATTCAAGGTCAGTTGAGTTTCTTCACTACTTGTGTCGATTCTTTGATATTCGAAGCCTTAGAAATTAGACAATACAGACAGCTTTTTTGAATTCCATCGGGTACGCGACCCGTTTTCACATGTGACGCAGTCGGCGGAGAAAACAAGTCCACCATACAGGTCGATACCAGGGCTGACGATGTTCGATTTCTGACTTCATACTTGGTGGCGTTCCATGTCGACAAAGCATAAAGAGACTTGATTGGATTGAATTCGCTCCGAGTGGGTACTGTAAAAGCAGGACATAAACGAATTTCAAATTCAGCAGGAGGGTAGCGTAGTCCGCGAAAAGAAATATACAACATCGGGGATCTCGGACATGGAAGACGCAGTGGAGCTTGAGGTGGAGCAAGTAGCGGTTCGGAGATGGAACTTCATAGGGCACCACAAGATATAGCGGATTAAAGTTTCAGTTCTTGTGTTCTTGTCTGCATGCGTTCGAGTGATGTCGACGGTCCTCTGAGTACGGGTCGGGAAGAGAAATAACGTTGCCAAGGATCCACGTATAGAAGGAAAGTGAATCTTCCGCTTGCCAGTGGCGTAGATGCGCATGCTCGGCGCCGATTCCGAATGACGCCGAATTACCGAGTGAATTTCGCGGCGTTTTCGGCACCATTAGCAGGATGCTGTTATGTCCCGGTTGTGTTCCGGCGTGAACCTACTACCTGCCAAACCCCGACATCAGTGGGTAGGTAGGTAGGTAGGTAGCATTACATGGCACGGTTCCACTCAGGAACGCCAGTGGAACGCCGGTGTGGAGATGTATATCACCGCCTATCACCGCCACCAGATGTTGAAAATTTTCTTCAGCCGGTAGGTAGCGGAACCCGTCGGGGAAGCGGCGCGGGAAGACTGGAGTGTTGCGGTTGCTGTCGAGGTTTGCATTTGCAGCAACGATTGGTTGAAACATTCTTCGCGGTTCGAAACCGCCACAGAGGTTCATGCGGAGCAGATTCCGCGGCGGCGGGATTTTTTTTGTTGTATACGGGGATCCAAGTCGTTTCTATGGCGGATGCAGTATATGTGGTAGCGCTTGCAGATTGAGTAGAACGAATCCGACTTGAGTCGGGAAATGCTCGCTGCGCCGAGACGGCAATTTCCGGCCGACGACACTGCCACTTACCGCTTTTGGCCAGAAAGCCTGAGTGCGAAAGTAGTCGGGATTTCGGTACCGCCAGAACCACTGAGAAAAATGCCGCCGAATGGCACCACATGAAGCAGAACATCGCGAAATTGAACGATTTTGAAGCCATTCTTTGCAGAAAAGGCGTGTCAGCCACAGTGCTTCCTCGTTTGTTCCTGTTTGCTGCCTAGCTTCACCCCCAGCCAAGTCACGTGTGCCAAATTGAGAATTGCTTCGCTTCGCTCGCAACAAAAACAAGGCAGATCACACTCCCGCGACGCAGATCCCGGCGTAAGGCGGTTGTCGCAGAATTGACGCAGATGTAGCAAAAGGGTAGGTGTCGTAAGGACGCCAGGTGTGAAGTCACCGACGACCTGCGGAAAAGAACGATAATAATGGATTGTCGATCCGTAGTTTTTTTCACTACTCACCAAAAAAAAAAAGTTTTTGGACTGACTACATACGGGAGACCAGGATAGATGGGGGGCGGCAAATATGTCGATGGTGGCGGTGGCGTTCGGATTCGTGGGAATGAGAATTTAACAGATGGGTCAGAGGATTGATGGTGCATGATTCAGGGCTGCAGGCGAGCTCAATGGCATATGAGAGGAAATGAAGGGAATTGAGTTTGTGTTGCGAAGAAACGGGTACCTGCCTGTGGCGCAGGGTTGCCAACAGACGCGCGGTTCAGTGATGCTAGGGTTCTGCCTTGGGCACAAGGACACGTCGTTACGGGTTAGAATGTTCCGCCGTTACGGCATTCAGCATTAGCTCCAAGTAATAAATATAAAATAAATGAGAATTTTTGGGAGTCCTTCATCTTCATGCGGCGTGCGGTTGTCCCGAAGTCGGCGGGAACCAGTCATGGTGGCCATGAAGGAGAGGTGTGTCCGTTGCGCATGGAATTTCTGTCGAGTGACAAATTTGTGAGATGATGGGAAAAACTGAGCTACAATAAATGTCGGATGACGTACGAGGATTCCGCGAAAAAAAAAGAAAGAAAGAAAATGAGGGAAGCGTCTTTGCCTAAAGCGAAAAGCCTGCGCAGATTCAACCCAATGCCAAAAAGGGTCCAAAAAAGTTGTAGTGTTCAATTCACGGAGATGCAACCCTTCTAAGACGGAGAAGGGAAAGAAAACGAAAAAGACAAACACATGGCATTGCGGTGGCTTGAACACCGGACCTTCAGATGAATTGCGGCAACGTTTCATGACTTCAGTCTGCTGCTCTCCCAACTGAGCTACAACGCCGATGAAAGGGACCCACAGGTCAGTTTGATCTCGTCGGGGCGAATTTTTGATATGCCTCACGGATGGACGCAAATCTGATTCAGAGTAGGCCTTCTATGGATTCAATAATGTTTGCAAGGTCGCAACAGGCGCGTGTTACCAAGGATTTATTACGCACCGCGTGCTCTTCGGTTTTTTTGAATTGCCCAACCAAATTTCCCCGGTTCGATATCAATGCCATACAACAACCATACAAAGTTCGCTGCCAATTCAAAACAAGGAAGAAAGTCAAATACACACCATTTGGAAAGTATCGGAGGGTTGATCTGACTATCCTTGGAGAGTCCGTTATCATGCAGCATCTGTCTGTCATACCACTTCAACTTGTAACGGCCCTTCATATAATTACGAAGGAAGATGTAAGCTGCATTGTGAGCATACACAACTTCGTCCATTCTACCTTTTCCGTGCTAACATCCCCCCGTAGGGAAGATCGCGTTGATTGGGACAAAAATACTTCCGTCTTGAATTCCAGATCCCGTTTGATTTATCCTCAATTCGGTTGGGGATAACATCGCCTATTCTCTCCCCGCATCGAGTTGGAGGCATCATTGAGATGTGCTAATTCGATTTTCTACACCGCTTTAGACACCATCACATTTGGCGAGCTCGTGGATGTGCCTCAGATACTCGGATCGTTCGTAATGGTACTATCGGTCGAGGTGCACCTCAAGCTCATACTGATGCGTGCGTCCCGATTGAATTTCTATTTACACTGTCCCTGAAGTATATTCCTCGTTCCAAATCTTAAAGTACCAAACAGCACGGAAGCCGGAGTTTGAACCTCTGTCAAAATCTCTCTTTCGCAAGGTATGATGCAGATATGCTAAGAGTCTAATTTAAACTGTCCACAGGTTCAACTACTGATCCTACTGACACATGCTGTCGATCCAAGACTTCGGATAAGCCGTACCAGACATCGACTTCCCCGATTTACCTGGCCCTTCAATCATCACATTTTGAGTCACAAGTTAACTGACAGGTTTCATGAGGCGCGATCTGGAGTGAAACGTACTTCGACTGCAGATGTTGATTAATCAAGATACAACACACGTAATATTCGACTTTGACAGCGAAAAGAGGCTGAGGGATGCACATCAGAATATGCACGACCACTCACGTCCCCTGATCATCGTCATCTCCAGTCATAATTGGAATCTGTGCAATTATTTAGTTGCAGCAGGACATACCCAGAGAGAATGACGACACCAGCCTTAGCATACAGCCCCTTGACCACCGAAACCAGCGGGTTCAGTACGACCACGTCCCCATCGACGCGTGGTCGCCAAATGTTATTCGCGCTGGAATACGATACAGCATTGGTGGTGTGGTTGACGGTCGTCATGAACGCGTCAAACGGAACGCGCCGGAGGCACGCGAGCGTGTCGGGCGCTGTTGGCGGCCACGAGCGCTGTCCATCGGCAAGGGTAGGTGTCGTTACCGGGGACCCGGAAACCTGCATATGTTGCGTCAGCGGATGCTCTAGTGGAAGGAATATGATAAAAAGCATACCATAGTAAATGCGCCGCGAAACAAGGCGCTCTGGTCGAATCGCTCATTGTTCAAAAGGAGCAAGGCGGCGGATATCGCGCCGGCACTGGAACCTGCGCTGTAGATTTGGACAGGCGTCAGGAGATGCCTCATAGATGCAGCGGTGTCGCGCACACTGCCAGCCGCTTAGGATCCCCGCCGAACGCTGTGATGTTCTTCGCAAAGATTTCTGTCCCACGGTTCAGTTTCACACTCGCCCTACGAATCACGGACGTACGGTCTCTCAACGCGAGGTTGCTGATGCCCGCATCACCGACTTCCTTGCCGGCCAAGAATCCGAAAGCTGAGGTGGTTTAAACTCCTGTTAGTAAGGTTGTTGGTTCACCCGTTCAAGTAATTACCGTTGACGCGATAGTTTGGCGTGACGATGATTACTGGCTCACCGTTGACGATGGAACGCTCAACCACCGGCCTGATCCGTTTAATCCACTGAGACATTACGTGTCAGATTGGGGGGGGGGGGGGGGGATGTGCATGAGTCTACGCACAAAGAACACAGGTAGCTTCGAGTTCGGTCCGGCGGTCTGGGGCTTGAACAGGCCTATACATATGAGTGTCCGGGCGACGGAGATTATCCAGTATTAACTCACAGTCCTCCGAGACTTCGGGGTGGGGCGGGAAGTCAACTGGCACGGGCAGCGAACTCGGCGCCTGCTGAGGACAAACAGGACCGAACGCTGTCGCATTCTGCACGCCGTTCAAGCGGGCCGATGTTTTCGGGAGCTCAAACCGCGGCCTGTAGAAAGATTAGTTTATTGGCAGGATCTTTCGCAGAGCCTATGCCTGTGCAAAAGGTATGCCGAGGAACGTCGAAAGATTTCCGTCGCTTGTGCCTCGGAATGTACCGTACTGTAGAGCAACGATTGGTGCGTGGGCATTAGCGGCAAGAACAAAATCCGCGAAAACGAGAAGAAGGGGAAGCCTCTGTATGACATTGGCTGTGGCGCCGACGGAGCGGGCATTGAGCGGGCAAGACGATATCTGAGCTCGCGTATGCGGCCCCAGCGGCCCAACGCGGCGGGCCGATGTTGGACCCACGCTTTGCCCCAACGTAAACACCAGTGACCGGTCTTAGAAAAATAGCTACCTGAATCCAATATGTACAAGGGGTCCGCAAGTCAGACCGGCTCAGCCTAGTCCGTGGTTTAGATGCGCCTCAATTCTCACCCGCCGCGCACGTCCGAAGGGGCCAGTTGAGTGGCGGGTCCGGTATGTACGTCGTGGATATTTTTAGTGGTTGAGGTGACTTTCAGATTCTCGAGTTCATGATAAAGGAACTCCATCGTGTTTCATGCCTCCAGAGTCCAGGGTGGCTTCATGAACTTGTTTGGGGAATTGATTGAGATTTTGAGAAGGTATCGCGTGTTGTAATTTGTTGTCTTCAGAAGCCGAAGCCTTCGATGCACTGCCATCTTGGGCTGAGTCCTCCTCCAAAACTCAAGTTGCCTCTTGGTTGCCTCCAGGCTCAGTCAAAGACTCTCAATCAATCAGCCTTGACCCTGGATTCGCTTTATACATGCACTGATCCAATTCCTCAGTGCTCACTTCCGACTTGCTTCCGACTCTTCAAGTATTTCTCTGGATTTCTTCCTCCAGGCTGACGAATCTTCAAGTTCGCTCGTAACTTTGACCACCGCCGCGGCTTTCATAGCTAGATTATCCTCGAAGGGTTTGGCCCGTCTCAAGACCTGCAGCATCACGACGAAAACAAATCTGCGCTGCCAGTCGGATAGGACTACAAATGTAGAGCACTGCCGAGCAGCAAGTACTTGGTCTAGGGCTAGTGTTATCGAGGCCTTGCTCCTCACTACCATCACATCCTGGCCACCGAGATTTTCGCGCGACACGATTTTTTTCTTGTGCTGTCTGCCATCACCGCTCCTCGCGGCGTCTGATGCCATGACATGGACATCCATCGGGTCGCTTGTGGCTCCTGCACCCATCAACCACCTCCAGGTGCTATACCTACTTAACCTACTTCTACTGCCATACCAATGATAACACTCCCCTGCCAATCATAATGATAACACTCTTCCACCAAGGATAACACTCCCCCGCCGATGATAATGATATTACTTCCCTTGTACATCCCACTTGCAATAACACCTCTCAATAACGATTACATTCCGACTCCACAGCAGCTAGCTACGAGAACGGTACAGCATGTAACGACTTTTATGTACAAGAAACAACTAGACCACAGAGGTATACACGCCAACGACGAATAAAGACTAAAGATGTAAGGTACCGTATGTATGTATGTATGAGAGCGCGTGCGTGCATGGAGGATTCTGTATGTCGACTGACTGAGACTGAGACTACAGTGGAGAAACAGACGGAACCCGGGTCAGACTTGTGGCATCGTAGGAGGCAGGGATGGTTATCGCGGGCGCAGGCGGGGGCGTGCGTAGCCGGTAGTACGACTGGCCCTGCATCATGGCGGGGCCGTTTGTCTGCTGCTCGACCTGCTGCTCGCCTTTGCCGTCCTCGGGCTCAGGGTCGCTGTAGTGCTCCCCCTCCCCGTCGTCGTCGCCGCCGTCATCGCCCTGGTCCTGCTGCGGCGCGTCACCGTTAGCGTAAGACGCTTTGGACGGCGAGTCGGGGAGCTCCGTGCGCAGAGACGAGAGCTCCGTGCGCAGCGACGACACAGCCATGTTGGTCGCGTAGCTGCTGGTCGGACGGTACGCCATCGGAGCGCCGAGCGTGGGGTAGGTGATGGCGGTGCTGTGCTGGTGGAGGGATAGCGTGGCGATTCTGGTGCCGGAGTCGAAGGAAGACGAGTCGTTGGCGGGAGACGCGGGACGCGAATCCTCCGGGGCGGGGGACCCTTCTGCGTCGATGTCATCCATATCGTCGTCGCCGTCGCCGTTCCGGTGGACCTTGACGTGCTGGAGGAGGTTGTCGTGGCGGTTAAAGAATTTGTGGCAGGAAGGGTAGGTGCATGGGAAGGCTGGAATAAACAAGAATTAGATCAGGCAGATAAAAGAGAGAAAGAAGGCACTCACGCTTCTCGTGCGTATGAATGGAGCGGATGTGTCGCTTGAGATGCTCCCCACGGTGAAAGCACTTTCCGCAGCCTTCGACCTTGCATACGTGCAGGCGCTTGGTGGCCTCTTCCTCCCCACTACCGGCTATAATTGGGACCCTCCGGCCGCGGCTTTTCTTGATGAGATTAGGAACGGGGATGGGGAGATTTGTGCGCGAACGAGAGCGGTTTTCGAAAGTGGGAGGTGCGGAGAGAGAGTCGACCGTAGATTCGATGAATACTGCTTGGGTGCTGTTCAGTGGAGGCACGACGCTTGTGGGCTCAAGGGCTGCAGAAGGAGGAGGGTCGACTGGCTCTTCGGACTCTGCCCTGTCCACTTCATCGATGGTGCGTTTCCGCGGCGACTTGGCCTTTTTGCGAGCAG